CAGTCCGAAAATAACGATGATGGCTCCGGTCCCGATGAGGACATATGGTGCATTGGTGCTCTCCTCAGAGGCCAGGGTGAAATAGTCCTCCAGGCTCACCTTCCCCCACACCCCGACAGCCAGCAGGATCACGCCTGTGAACTGAGGAAGACAGCAGGGCAAGTCAGCACCGGCATCAAAGAGCCAACGAGAGAGAGATGGACAGATTTTTTAGAGCCCAAACGAAACACGAAACCTAAGTTTAAAGGGTCAAAACCACTTGATCGATTAATAACTTCATGTTTAAGTAAGAGCTAAATTTCCAGTTCCAAAATGAAATTGTATCAAACTAAAAAGACAAAAGATTGACTGGTTTCAGCTCCCTAAACGTGAAGACTATCTGCTTTGTTACATCTGATATAGAAACTGAATACTTTGAGGCTGATCTTTGTATCGTATCATTTTTCCAAGCAACAATGCCAAACATTTGCTGATTCCAGATTGATCCAGATTGTTTTGGACTGAAAACAAAATAATCTGAATTCATCTCTTTGGGTTCAGGGGACTTGATGGCCATTTTCACAATTTTTCTGCTATTTTATAGACCAAACAGGGAAATTAATAAGACCTAGAGCTTATTAGTCACAGTGGATAATGACAATAATCGTCTTTGCAGCCCTAATTGAAACTCAACCCATCACACCAGCTAACATTGGTGGAAGCTATCAGCATTAAAAAGCGCCAGGCCTCCTAACGCAGCTCCTCAAATATGAAGTCCTGCTGTGTACCAAGCTGTGATCACGCATACAGAGCTACTCCGACCAGTGACGCAAATACCAGGGATACTTTTAATTAAGAGCCGCGATGGGCTGAATCCAGTAAAAACACAATTTCCTTTATTGATTTCCTTTATTAAATCCTCTCTGTTCTCAGGGGAGGAAATGCAGATGAGGAGAAGCAGCTGGAGCATATTGGAGCTCTGACACCATGTGTGAGAGTAAAACATCATATAGCCTCTAACATTGTTCATAAACACCATATAGTTGATATTTGAACTGTCAGTCATAAGATACATGATTCAGATGCTGCAGGTGATTTATTTACCTGTCCACATTTAAGTAAAGACACACCTGGGAAACCCTCACTAGCCTTTCAGCCCGAGGTTTAATCATCTCAGCATCTTTTGCTTTAAGACTGCCCACACAAGTCATTAGCCTGAGGCGAGGCATCAGCTCAACCAGCCAAGAGCAATAAATTGCCAGATAAAAGCACTGACCTGAACTTTGTGTCAGCAGCAGCAGCCTGAGATGGCTGTTTGCTCGGTACAAAGATTAACGGAGGGGGGGGGACAGTGATAACCGCTCATTTTCTTCTCAAGACAAGCTCATGTTGAGACTTTCCTTACATGTAATCAGAGATGGAGCTAGCAATTATTTCCATCATCAATTATTATGCAGATTGTTATCTTGATGAATCCTTTATGTCAGAAAATAGTGGCAACGCTTGGTGTAACTTTCCACAGCCCAAGTTCACGGATTCAGATTGCTTCTTTCATTTGACCAGCAGTCCGAACAATTAGACGATTCACTTATACGTCGACTTACAGAAGATGTGTCTGCAACAGTCTTGTTAAGCGATTCATCTTTAGGTAATTTGTCCAGTTATAATACCAACATTTCTTGTCCCTGGGGAGTGAGGATTTACATCTTTTCTTTATGACAATAAACCTGAATATCTCTGAGTTATGGACTGTTGGTCGGACAAAATAAGACATTTGAGGATGTTGCTTCCGGCTACAGGAAACTGTACTGGCATTATCACAGTTAATCAAGAATCAAAGTAATCATTAGTCCAACATCAAGTCCTCAGATCTCTCCCTAAAGGTTTCCTGGAAATAATTAACTTTGAACTAATATTAGAAGAAACAGAAAACACTGATGTTAAACTTTTTACTTGCTTAATTGCAGTTAACGGATTGACTTTTAACGTTCAGCTGCATGTACTTTAAAACTTTAGAAAACATACCCACACTAACACAAAACCAGAAGGTGCTGGATGCAATGTTTTGATCTTTTTTCACAGCTGGACACTGGAAATGTGAAATTTGCTATAACCAAGAATACAACTGAACATAGGATGGAGAATACATTTCCATAATAAATAGACATGAATAAAACAAGAAATAAATGTAGTACCAAAACAAACAAAAAGGTTTCAGCTTCTCAACTGCGTTTATTTCATGGTCTCCTTGTATTGTATGATAGTAGACAGAGTATCATGGCTTTAGGGTTTTAAACTCTTTGTTTCTGACATTTTAGAGACCAAATGGTTATCCAATCAAGAAGAAAATCAAAGTTAAATTAATTATCCTTAACATTTGCTCTTTATATGCAATTCTTTGGAAATTAGGTAGCTGAAAGATGTTTTTATATGCAAAATACCCTTATGTAAATTGCATTTAGGGAAACCCATAATCAATCATTAAAAACAGCGAAAATGAATCGATTAACCAACTCATTGTTGCAGTTTATGTACAATTAAGTTGACTGCAGAACAACAAGAATGACGCGTTCACGTAACGCTTCGCTGTAACGTTTAACGTTCTAATAACTGACACACAACGGCTAACGGTAACGGTAGTTCTTTAGAACGCTGATAAATGAGGCCGAACATCTGCTCCAACGTCTCCAACGGTCGCTGAAAGCCAACAAGTGGCTCTTTATGTAACTCCACTTGTTTTTACCGGCGGACGGCTACTCAACATACTTTAACTCCGAGCGAGTCTCTGTCGTGATTTGAGAAAATGATGCCTTGCTGGCACCGCCGCCGCTTGTAGCCCATTGTTGCTCCTTTACGTTAGCTTGTTGTCCCCCATTACATGTCAGGCAAACTCACCCAGAATATGAGACTGTAGGAGATGAGGAAAGTCTTCAGGCAGGTAATCACTGGCTTCGTCTGAAGCCGTCGAGACGGCGGCGACATGGTGCTGTTTTTGTTTTTGTTTTGTTTTTTACTTTAAATTGAAAAAGAGGGAGGAAAAGTTGACTTCACAGCGCCCTGAAGGCGAGAGGGGAGAAAAAACTTCGGGGATAAATCCAGAGACAGGAGGGGGGGGGAAGTGTCGTCACTAACCCAGACTGACTTTCCTGAAGGAACACCGAGCTTCCACACAACGTCACTGCTGCAGTACCGCACACACACAGCCTTCAAAATAAAACACTTCCTGCAACGCTTTAAACCAACGTGGCTCATGTGAAGGGGGGTGTTTGTGTCAGCAGTGGTGGTGTAGTGGTACCTAGAGGAACTGGGTAATATACACTCAATGTATGCCTCATATTTAGTTTTTAAAGCGGCGGAGTTCAGAATCAATGTCCTGTTGTATGAACAGTGACTACTCTTGTATATTTGACAATAAACTGACAATAAAGGATCATTATGAAATTAACATTAGCCACAGAACAATCAATTCACTTCAAGACAATATTGCCAAAGCATTAAGAAATTGTAGAAACAACAACAACAACAAACATAATATCAATCAGTAGTGGCCCACAGACTAAAGGCTGAGACAACTACATACAGTAATTTTGCATTTTGCAGGTGATATTGGACAACTATGTAATGCTGTTGCCATCCTATGTGCATCCTGTGCTCATTGAAAATCAGATTTTAAGGGGGGGGCTACAAGCATGATTTGTGACATCACAAATAGTTTGGTCCAGTATGCAGCTTATACAGGAGTGAAAACTTTAGAAATGAACAAGATCCATATTCATAGATTCTGGGATGTTTAATGAGATAGAAGAGGATTTTAATGTTAATGTGGAAATTAAAAAAGATATCAGACACACATTATTATTCCAAGCAGTTTATGTGTTACATGTCTTTAAGTAAAAATAAATAATTTATATTGTATTATTGAATTATAATTATTGATGCACTAATGTGTAAAATACTTTAATGTCAAAGCTGGTAAAGGTGGGACTTATTTATGAATGAAAAGATCTAAATGTTTACGTTTCCTCTTGCAATTTTTGACATAAATTCAGTAGTCTGAGCATACTGCTAAGAATGATGAGATATGAAGCTTTTATCTGTATCTCATAATTTTGTCATAAGTTTAAATTCCTACCATAGCCTATATTGGTTTCTTTTCTTGGTTAAAGTGGGCTTATACTAGATTGTTTTTCCCCTTTCAACAACTAATCCAAATACATCCCTTAATATCTTTACGTTTTACCAGCAAGTTTGACTTTTTAACTTAGTATGTAAATGTATGCTTTTATTTTTTGGGCAGTAGCTCTATTTCCTGCCCCATGCTGTCTGACTTTAATTATTATTCATTTGATGATGTGACACTTGGTATGGGCTAAATTACATCAGCTGAGTAAATACAATTATCACAACACTCATAAGATAAACATGAAGATTTCTTTTTTTTCTAATCTAATTTCTACATAAACGATGTTCTCCTCTGGCAGTTTATCACAGTATTAAACATAATTTAGACCTCCTGTGGGACATATTCTCTCTAAATCACATGTAATGACACTTTATACATTATTATATTAGAATCATATGAGTGGACACTACGGATATAACAACCGACCTGTGAGGTCTATTTTCTGTCTGTGAAGCACTTTTGTGAACATGTGCTAAATAAAGGATATTATAAATTATTATTATTGTTGTTATAAGAACTTGGTCATAACAATATCATCAGGACAATATAATTTACTATAGTATTATATGAGTATCATAATCAGGGGGAATTAAAAATGTATAATTAGTCATTAAAGCCACCACTGATCTCATTAGTATCATATTAGAGAGAATGATTCTTCTGAATGGGTTTATATGTTTTCATTTGCAGCCTACAATAACCTTCACTCTCAAGGCTTATGAGCTGTGGGAGGGGTGGGGTTTTATATAATGGCTCAGTCATCATGTTTAATGCAGCGGTGGGAGGGAACACACAAACATGAGGAGTCCGACTGCGCCACCAAGTGGTTTTTGACTTTGATGATGAACTAAAAAGAATCTTTGTTTTACAGAAAGTGCGGAGTGTCTGCATGACGGGAGCGCTTCTTGTCCTCAGTGGGGACATTTAAGTGTTTTCAGCCGTCAGTCCAACCAGCTGTGGACTTTCTCCGGAGTATAACTTTTTTTGTTGGACTCTGGGATCTGAACCAACCTGCTCAAAAGAAAACTTTTTTCTATCCAGGAGGGTCCTCTGTGCGTTTCTGACATGCCTCTCAGCCCCTTTGTTGCGTTTGTGTTCATTTTATACTTCACAGGTGAGTCTATGCGTTATTTAAACTATAGGAAAACCCCATCAAAGCATTTCTTTAGTTGTGTGTGCTTGTTTGTGGATATTATTTAAGTTCAGTCAGGCATTAATTCTTTGTAAGTCTTCACTACAATGGTGTGAAAAATATATATCTAATATGACTGTTAGAGAGAAGTCAGTGAAACATACACATCCCTTCCCTGCGGTTGGGAAATACCTTCATCTCAGCAGTAATAACAACTGTATTAGATGCAGATGTGCTGAATGTTTGAGGCGATTGTATAAATGCAAATGGAGCCCACTATTCCCTGCAGGAATGAAGAGCTGGGGATGAGGCTCCTTCTTACAACATCTCCCAACATGCAACTGGACAGAATCCAGTCAGAATGAATTTAAAACAAGCTGCAGTCGAGCTGCCTTCCTCCTCAGGTGCTCCCCTGCTTGCTGACCAGTTTAATTACAGCTCAGCTCCAATCACTGCCTGTTCATTACCGAGGAGACCCCCTCTGGGACCAAGTGTGCTAAAGCCTTCATTTAATCCTGCAAGATAATCACGTGACCCGAGATTCACCCTGAAGAAGCTCAGATGATAATGTGGAGTGTAAGGATGCTGGTCATTATCTCACCTTTGTCATTAGAGACAGAAAAAGCCTTTAACATGGTAACTCAAACAGATACACCTTCCTCTGGTGTGACTCACCCTGCTACAGCGAACAGTGTCTCTGTGGTAAAGTCTGTACTGTGAGTGGTGCCTGATACACAGTGTGTGTCAGTGTCTTGGTATTCTACAGCCCTAGTAGTAGTCGTCTGATACTTAACTTCAGTGCAACAATCTAAAAACATCACAAGTAAAAGTTCTGTATCAAAATCCTGCTTTGGTAAAAGTATTATTATACAACTACTTTATATAGTGTTTAGTAGTTTATTCCTGTGGTTCCCAAACTAGGGGTCGGGCCCCTCCAAAGGTTCACAAGATTAATACAAATGATACTACCTTTTAAAAACAGAGTTTACAAAGTGCTTTGACAGACTTACCAAAATGATTGTTGTGATACACAAAATGTTATTAAATATAAAAATAAAGAAGACCAAAATATATTTTATAAGAGCAGAATAGAATCCATAAAAAGACGGAATGGATGGAGTAGAAATAAAGAAAAACTCAGTTCTGCCACACAAATCTAAATGAATTTAAATGGGCCTCAAATTGTTATTCAAATGAAACCATCGGAGAGGAAATCTCTCTAACAACTCGATAAACATCTGAATCATGACCAGGGGCAGAGACAGCAATTAGTTGATTAAATGAATAAATCTGCAAGTATTTTAAAAATCAAATAATGATTTTAGTAACTTTCTAAAGCAAAAAACATTTCCTGGTTCCATGTATTTGATGCTCTTCTTTGTCATTCAGGATATCAATATCTTTGACTGTCAGACAAAACAATGAAGATGTGGGAAATTATAAAAGGACTAGTTTCAGAGACTTTATAGACAAAATTAATGATCTAGAAAATGACTAATAATTAGTTGAAACTGTGCTTTTTTGATAGGGTTCACAAACTAACTGCAGGGAACCACTGATTTAATATTTATTATCATCCTGTATATAGTATAGTATAAAGTAGCATAAAATGGTCAATTAAAGTCCCTTAAAACGTTTACTCAAGTAGAGCACTTGAGTAAATGTGATTCTTTTCAGCACTGCAGTAGTTTCAGCTGCTCAAATTAAAGATTTTTAATTGCCATATGCATGATGGTGCATGTCACCAGAAGTCTGTCTCTACTTGATCCCTGCAGTGCAGAGCATCATACTGATGATCTTGGCTTGTTTATTTCCTCTGTGACTAATTCTCTGTTAGGGGGACTTGGGAAATATTAGTCTGGAGAAATGTTACTGAGTGGAACATCTGGCTCATTAGGAGAAAAACGCTGACGATAGGTTTAATCCACACATCGCTGGGACAATCTGAAGCAGCTTCCAGAAGAGTGCGGTGCATCATTATTATTAGAAACTGTGTTAAAGTGAACTTAATGTGGTTGAAGGAAACTGTGCTAGAGAGGAAGCAGCACAGGAATTGACTTGAGCTGGGGGTGGAGGTTGACACACTGGAAAGTTTGGCACTCAGTTATAAACATGGAGTCATTTTCTGGGATTTCAAAAAAAAGGGCTAATGTGCCTGAACCACAACTGCTGAGAAAGGAGGATAACAGTGAAGAGGATTTATTGTGCAGGAAGACTGATTCAGAAACAGAAAGTCAGGATGAAGGCCATACAGTATGCAAGCCCTTCTGCCTATTACATAAAAGAAGAGATGAGTAAGAGGGACAATCTTCAAGTGAGTAATGAAAACATGCTGTTGGCCTTAATTTGCAGTGAAGCTATTGTCGATTTAAAGGCCAGAAAACAGTCTAACATGCTTCCTCTGTACTCATATCTACACTCCTCTCTACCCCAACAAGAAAGCAACACAATCTTTATGCCATTGATAAGATTACTATGTTTTTCCCATCAGCATCACTGAGTACTAATCCAGGTGTCTGTGGACTGGAATGTTAAAGGAAACCTGACAGGAAGTTATGGAAAAGAGATTGTGTTTAGGAAGAGTCATTTGCATGCCAGACTGCCTGTGTGTGACCTATATATAACAATCCTGATACAGAAGCTCAGTGAATCATAGGGTTTGAGAACCATGTTTGGCATCTGACATCTTGCTGTTTCCATATGTTTGACTGCTGTTTTGTTTTATTTAGCGGGCTCTGGGACCATAGTATATGACACCTACAATGACTTTGTAGAACAGGACTACACTCCTCAACTGGACTACAAAGGTGCGTCTGGAAAAACACTCACACACACTAGAGCTGACAATATCAGACAGTGTACAATAATACCTGTCTACTATCAGACATTTTTCCATTTCCATTTATACTGTGGTATTTCTGGCATTGAAGAATAAGATGTGAAGAAGATAGATAAGAGATCTATGTAGTCAGTTTTCTTTATACAGCCCAGTTAGGGCTTTACAATCTGTACAGCACACAAACCCTCTATCCTTAGACCCTTGATTCAGATAAGGACCAAATACCAGCTGATGGCACATTGCCCTTCTGTATCCTGCTATCCACCATTAGTGCTTTACACAGGTTTTGGGTTTGTTCACTCTTTAAATGCAGACCCACACTGGTGTCATTCCCCAAGTCTGACCAATGGGGAGGTGACCTGCCACTCCCCTCGCGGTGGCGCCTACCGGAGCACGTTGGGCACCCGCTGTGAGATGAGCTGCGATCGAGGTTACCGACTGCTGGGGAAGAGCTCAATCCAATGCCTCGCCAGCCGACGCTGGTCTGGGACTGCTTACTGCCGCAGTATGTGCGAGTTAAGGTTTTAAATTCCCATAAAAAACAGAAAACCAACATTTAATTGATCCTACTAACAGTTCTGGGCAACCTGATACATTTATTGCTCTGTACCATACAGCAGATCTCCATGTCTGTTTGAAATCTATTAAAAGCACATCAAATGAGCCACACTGTTGCAATAGGGCACAAAATGTGTATTAATCCACTTCTGAAAGTAGTTCCTAACAAATGCACTGTTTGCTGGGGTTTGAGTAACATTTGCTACAACCTACAGTGCCCAGCTGTTTTAGAAAATGATTCTATTCTTTGAGATATATATTTATTTTGTGATTGTTTCGACCATGAACAAAGTGTATGTCTGCGGGGTGATGTTCCTTCAGGGATGCGTTGCCATGTGCTGCACCTCATTCCACACGGCAGATACACCTGCACTCACGGCTTTGTGGTGGACTCCAGGTGCGGCTTCACCTGCAACCCCGGCTATCGCATTGAGGGGGAACACTCTCGTACCTGTCTGCATGGGGGGTCGTGGAGCGGAGCACAGCCACTCTGCGCAGGTACACATAAAAGTCTTATTTTGCTAGATCCACCAGAGGTTTAAACTCTGTTGTGCAAACAGTCAACTAGAGGTTAAACTTTACTGAACGTGGACCTAAATTCAGGCCATCTGTGTTGCAGCCCACATCCCTATGTGTCTCGTCTCACACTCACACAAAAACAAGCTTATTTCCTGCTCCTCTGGTCTTTGGACTGAGTCCAGAACTGCTGTCTTTCAGTCTTCATATTCTCCAACTGTTAGACTATCCAAAAACAATGTTGTCATTTTAAATGAATTTACTTCTTGCAAAATCTCTAATATTGTCCAATATTGTCATTTTCCAACTGTTTATTTCAGATACTGATCCTCCAAAGATCAAGTGTCCTCCATCCAGACTCAAGGTCGCCGAGCCCGGAAAACTCACTGCTACAGTGACCTGGGACCCCCCTGCTGCCACAGATACTGCTGATAAATCCCTTGAGTATGTCACTCCTTTCCTCTGCTTCCCTTTCCCGTTCACTTAGAGTTAGAATTAAACACTCGGCCTTTCCTGTACCTGTCTCTCTGCAGAGTCATATTAATAGGCCAGGAGTCAGGCACCGACTTTAAAGAGGGAGTAAACATCATCCGTTACAAAGTGTACGATCAGGCCAGGAACAGAGCTGCCTGCAAGTTTATTGTACGTGTTGAGGGTAAGTTGTTTCATTTTTTTTAACTTATGGATTGAATTTAAATGCTTCGCATTAACTTGAAGACGACATTATAAATGACAGAGCTGGATTCCTTACTTCCACTGTGTTCTTCCTCTAGTGAGAAGATGTTCAACTCTACCTCCACCTCTGCACGGTTCCCTCACCTGCTCCTCTGACGGGAATAACTACGGCGCAACATGTGAATACCACTGTGACGGAGGGTATGAACTGAGGGGCGTAGCGAGTCGTGTCTGCCAGTTCAACCGCAACTGGGGCGGAAACCCTGCTGAGTGTGTTCGTGAGTCTGCATGAAAATCAGGATTTTGTACATGCATAAATCAAATTGTACATGTGTATCCTCTAAAGGGGTGTGAATGCAGGATGCCATTGTTACCTTGTGTGTTTGTAGCAATGGAGATTAAACCAGATGTAAAGACAGCTTCCGCTCTCCTGGATCAGTTTTATGAGAAGAGGAGGTTGCTGATCATGTCTGCGCCCAACATATCTGACCCAGACTACCAACTGCAGAACATCATGATACAAGTGAGGAGACTTCACATGGCAGTTTCTTAGGAAGTTTACTAACAGCAACAAGAACCTCACAATCTGTCTTCTTTGTTTCAACCAGAAATCAGACTGTGGATTAGACCTGCGACATGTAACTGTGATCGAGCTCCTGGGCTCCCCGCCTCGTGAGACAGGTCGCATTAAAGAAAATCTGCTCAGCTCTGAAGTCATCGAGGGTTTGAGGTAATAGTGAAATACTTCATCACTTTGTTATTCAGCAGTTTCATTCTGGGGGGAAATTAGTTCATTTAGTTGAAAAATTCCATCCTGAAATGGCTTTATAACTCCCTTTCTCAGTAACAGTAAGCAGTTGTTTCTCTTCGCTCTTTCTAAATGTCAAGAGTCTCCTAATAAAAATGGGCCTCTGACTAGTTTGACGTTAAAAGGAAAAAAGTCCACTAGAAAGATTAACACTGTTAAAAATAGCTACATAATAAATCCAGACTAGCAGTAATGGGGTTCGACCGGACTGACAGAAAAACATCAATAGTAAACTTCTGCCTTTGGTTCCCAAAACCAGTAAGAGATTCTTCTAAAATCCACCTCTGTATCACACATTGCCTCTTCTACAATATTGTGTCTAAGATATAGATTTTTCCACCCAATGTGCAATTTGAGTAAGGGGCACTGCTCACTTTTTCCAGACTGGAAAATCTTTCTAACCTTCAGTTTCTCCACTGACACACTCCCACAGCTGAGTGAGGGCAGTTTATTGAGGCACATTCTTTGAGTGTAGTACAAAGCACTCAATGTAGGCAATCAGACAAAGTAGCAGTATCTGAGGGAAGTGTATACATCTGAACAGAGCAGGGCGGATATAGAGAAATAGTCATATGGTGGGAAGAGGATGACATGGAGACTTTAAGGGGTGCCTAAAATATATGTTATTTAATTGCAAACAATCACATGTATCAATATTTGCTTGGAAGAGCCACAAATGGATATTTAAACTCAAAAACATTGTGTCACGTTAGTATTAGACATATCTTAAGGTGGCATTAGAAATCAATAAATTATTTTATTTCCAAATGATGAGACACTTTACCAAATGTCTTTTTTTCATTGCACCAATCACTTAGTCAGAAGGCCTGAAGAGATCATAAAACGTTTTTGTTGAGATTGATTTAAATTAATGTGTTAAATTTGACAGCATATGACACCAAACTGGGGCAGAAACTGGATTGACCAAAGAGGTTCTTCAGGGCTTATTGTTAAAAAGATACCACCATAAATATAGTCAAATATTAATTATTATCTTTTATCTCCTGAGAGAAGTATCTGGCTCTTTAGCTGCTACATGTTCACCAATGTTCACCAGCTAGTTGCTAACTTTGTCCCTCCGTTGTTTGATACTGGACAGGTAAATATACTGTAGGTTTATCTGGGTGTTTGGTGGTGTGAAAACTATACTATGAGAGCACAGAGTGAACCATGATAGTAAAGATACCAAACCAAAACAATCAGCTAAAAGACTATAAAGCTCCATAGAGCTCAGAATAACTGCAGAGTTGGATGATAATCAAATTTGTCACTAAACAAGCCCTTTCACATTACATTCATCTGTCATGTAATCCACTGTTATTATAAAATCTTCATTACAGCTGCTTTAAAGCTTAAGTATGAGATGGTGAAGTGTTCCTTTAACAATCTAATTGCTGATTTGTGTGTCTCTGTAGACAAGCATTCAGAATCTCCAGATCCTACTTCAGCATGGTGCTGCTGGACAAGCTGGGACTGGACCGAGAACGCTTCATTACCCCGATGGCGTCGGATGAGCTGTTCTCCTACATCGATAGCTTCCTGCTGGACGAAGAGGAACGAGAGAGGCTAGAGCTCCACAGGGACTTCTGTGACTAATTTAATAAACCTCTCTGGTTGCCACAGTGATAAACTCATCAGTATTACTAACACACGATGAAGAAGGACAAACAACCAGAAACCAGGTCAAGAGGGACATTAGGAGGGAAAGAGGACAAGAAGGTAGTTCTAATCAAATGTAATCACTACACAACACTGAAGTGCTGCACTGTTTTAACTTTATATCAAATCAGCTGAAAGGCAGAGGCCAGAAAATGGACGCCACAGCTACAGAATATAGAGCAGACAAGCTTGAGTAAAACACATTAGTAAACAAAGACCTATGTACGTTTTGAACAATAGATGCATAAAATTAGGTTGGATGCATGTAGATTTGGATTTTTGTCAAGGAGCCCGTTAGTAAATCTGATATTAACTGAAAACCAAAACCAAACAACCACTTCATCAAAACACTACTGAGGAACCCTCCAGTGGACAGATATTTTTTATCCAGCTGGTATTTGAGTGAAACAGAGTTGAGACAATGAAGCATGTCTTGGGTTTTGTCCAATTTTATTGGGTAAATTCCTTGATGTGAACATGACTCTTATCACACTCCGATGATGAGTTAAAAGTTAAAAATCTACATTTATATCTTCAAGTAGACAAATTTAATAATTTCAATTCAGGCTTTTTTTAAGAAAGGTATATAAATATAATTTCTTACAGTATTAATGTAAAATACAATGATATAGATAAAACCAAGGACAATTCGTTGGCAACAACACCAGAAATGTTATATAATGTTAAAATAAAATCAGTGTAATTCTGTACACAATTATAAGGAAAAGAATGACATATTATGACATGCATGATTTTGAATTGCAATAATATATAAAGCCGGAAATTAAAAAACATAAATTGAATGTCAATTTCTCTTAAAAATAAATCCAGAGGTTAGTGTTTTGGTGCTTTGACACATTTTCAACAGTTACAGTCTTCAGTCAGAGAGAGGGGGGGGGTGCTGCCGATGAACCCCTTACAGGGAAGCAGGTGTGAGTGGATGTTTAGGGTTCAAGAGGCCAATGAACTGTGTGTCTGCTTACAGCCAATCAGCAGTGTGTTGGTTCACTGCAGTAGACAAGCTTCTGGTCCGATATTCTTGCATCTTATATTTGTCTCAGAACCCCAAAGCTTCTCCCCATTTCAGTCTGGATTTTTTTTTGAAGATCCAGGCCTGTGCTGTCCTTATTTAACCTTAGCCTTCGCCATAGTAGAACGCAGTGGAAGAGTGCCCTCTGCCCACGAGTCAGGGTACTGCATCATCTTCTCCCACAGACTGGTCTCCTCTCCAACCGAGTCAATCTGCACTTCCTCTTTTCCTATTTTTACAGTTTCTGCAGGGGTTAAGATTACATAGGGAGTCTGTTTGTGTTACTAAATTCACCCTCCCTCCAATGTTATGCCCACATAAAAAAGGTAAAAGGTCTCCCTGGTGCCCAAACCAAGATTCACTGAACTGCAATTAAAGTCAAAGAATTACTACTACCAAAAGAGCAATTGTGACAAAAAACTGAAACAGTGTAATTCAGGGTGAGCCAAGGCAAAAACAACACACACAATAATCTATCTGAACTAACCTAGGTGAAACAAACACAGACATTCATTAAACCCTGGGAGCAGTTCACATATAGCTTTAGTGCCATTTATAAAAGGTGGATTATTCTAGGTACAATATGATACCTATAGTTTACCAACTAGGGAAATAGGCCTAACAAGATCTCACAGAATAGCAATTCTAGTCTAAGTAACACACAAAAGAATATTAGGATTTAAGATCTAAGATCTTTTACCTGTTACAGAGCTGAGACGGACTCCTCCCAGGAATTCATTGCTCAGCAGGGCCTCTCTGTCCCACACTGTCAGCTCCAGACACATCCCCTTCAGCTGCTCCAGAGCCAGGTCCTTGTACACAAATGTGTGGTCATAGTGAGGGTCCAGATTCTTCTTCACAACTGGAGTCTTCTTCTTGGTGTTCTTTGCCTTAGCTGGGAACAAGTACCTGCAGAACCACAAACACACAGTTAATCTTGAGAAGAGAAATGCTTGTATGAAAACAGCGAGTCAACAGATTATCACTAACCCTTTTACAAAGCTATCTGACGTTCCTCCTGGCTTCACTGCTATCAAATTCTTTGCCTCTTTAATTAGAACGTGCAGTTCTCCCCCTTCCCCAGTCACTGCCTTTTTGCCTGAGGAGAAGAAGACACACACTTAGAAAATGAAAGCAAAGTGTATCAAAGTGTACATAGCCTGAGCTGCAGTCTTCCTATCATAGCCTTACCTTTGATTTTCTCAGTTGTTGGCTTTTTAGGTGTGACATACTTCAAGGAGATCACCAACTCTCCTTTGTACTGAGCAAAAGCTGAAGCCGGCATAGCAGAGGCTGCCTGGTTAAGAAAAGTGTTTAATTTTAAAGAAACAAAAAGAAACCCAAACAACAATTTAGCAAATGTGTTACCCTTACTAACATGCAGACACTAAAGCCAGACTGATACTGTGCGGCTGAGGCTGATACAGATGTCAATATCTGAGTGTGAAAATAAATCCCAAACATACAGACTAATAAACCCTTAACTGTATACATCAAGGGTTCCTTTGAATTAGGTCACTGGAGTTACAGAAGTTTGCAGTGACTGGATATTTCCAGATTAGCTACTCACATCTCTACATGGATGAGCCTTTTTCATTTTAAAAGTGTTGATAGCCAGACTTTTGTTTTCTCTGACAAACAATATTCCAAATAATATTAAACATGTTTGTAGTAAAGTATTTATAATTCTGAGCTGCTTAAAAGTTTAAAAAGTACCTTGTGCAGTTTTTGACCTATAGGACCGCTATGGAACAATATTTTTTTAACTAAACTTTGACAGTTACAGTCAGCCAGCCACTTCCACGGTTATTCTGCATCAACCAAAAGTGTCTCAGCTGGAAAAACAGTCTCAAGTGCTCCCAGCTGGGCATTTTCAGAAAAGCTCCTGGTGTTTTCAGTTGGGAAAAAACACTTTGGTGAACACAGACCATAAAAAAGGTAGCCTGTGGAGTTTTGGACCTGTAGTAACGCTATGAAGCGGTTTTTCTCCACAAGAAAGAACAAAGAAGTTTCACACTTCTCAAAAGCAGCTTTGTTTGTTTTATGAGGAATTAATTCCTCCTGTTAGACCTCAAAGATAAACAAAATACATTTTGGGGAGTATCGCCGAATGTAAAAGTCAATTTTGTTCGTTTACAAGAAAACTCAACAGTGAACCTTTAACACGGAGTTCAGACAAACTATACAGATTCTCTGATCTACCTTCGCCATGAGAGCCACGCGGTCCATGTCTGTGGAGTCAAGGTCTCGGCAGTCCAGAGGGATCTCCACCTCTCCCAGGAAGGCGTTGCGGCTCAGGCGACCATGATGCCAGACTGATATCAACATGGACCGGGTTGACAGCTGAGAGCGGCTGATAGAATACTGAATACAGACGAGGAAGAGAAGATGGGATGGATCAAAGGCCTGTCTCAATCCTGGTACAGTGGTGGAGAAGTCTTATATTTTAATTTTAATGCTCTGGAGCTGAGGGAGGTTTAAATAAATCATGAACACACATTTAAACAGAAGATGGATTCAGATTTGATTGGAAGTATCTGAAACCTTCTAAAATGATTACCTTCTTCCTAACCTTTAAGGAGCAAATCCAAAATTACAGAGCAATCATTCATTGCAAAATTGATTCACCCAGCTAATTTCCTTCGCAGTGGTTATGTTTGTCACAGTATTTAAGCTGACTCTACACGGGACCAAAATCAATATTTGACAGCAGCTATTCTAATCTGCAATGTCAATATCAATTTTAAGGTCTCTATAGGTGTGGTCGTTATTTGCAGCAGGCATGGCACAAGGTCACTAATCAGGGAGTGTTTTTAAGTCAACAGATTCAGGTCGGCAGTAGCAGTATAGTTAGACAGGTGCCAGTTACAAACCATTACCTTCAGTGTTTCTTGGTAGACAGGGTTGACTGTGTTTCTCTTAATGCTGGTCTTCCTTTTGCTCTGGCGAGATTTGTCAGGAAGTAGGTAACATTTGACATAACTGAAACACAAACACAGAAATAAATGTCAAACAGTGTTTCTCCTGGACATTGCTACTGTTCATTTGCTTTATTTGCTGACTAAATGCTATGAAAAAATGTGTGTTGACTTTCAATTTCCTGTGAAGCTCAAGTAATCACCTCTGGGATGTGATTATCAAGACTTTGTAAACACAGTAACCTCTTATCTACACTGATCAAAGCTGTGTTAACATCACTGAGGGGTGTGTGTGCAGTACAAAAATGTCTGTTTCAAGGCCACAATCTGCACTAAAGGTTTGAGCAAACTGTGCTTCAAATGGTGTTTTTTAGCCTTGTGGTGCTTCACATTATTAATATGCTACTTTTTAATAATTACGGGTTGGAAAGCTGCCGTGAGGAATCGCCGCAGGCCAGCTCGTGGCACTCCTTGATGAAGACCTGGAGGCTCTGGGTGTGTTCGTCGTAGCTCATAGAGAAGACAACGTCTCCGCTCACCTCCACGCTGTCAAAGTCTCCTCCTTCGCTGTAAATGCTCATCAGGCTGCCCAGTGTACTCTGGAGGAACATAAATAATTATTCATGTTCATTCATTGTTTTATTAATATCCAATATTGACATTTAGATCATATTTAGACAGACGTGCTCTAAAGGCTTAATGCTAGAGATCACAGTTTAAAAAGAGAGAAATAACATGGAAACAAAGACATCAAACATAACAAATAAATTCTGAGGGTTAACAGACACAAACAAATTAGAGATCAGGATGTTTCTGTCGATCTAAATCCAGAATGACAGCATGAAAGAAATGTTGGCTTCAGCTTTAGTATCTTTCCCCTGAGGCTTTGGTAACTATAGAAACATTTAGTTAGACTTTACACATCAATTTTACACTTCCTAACTTGCTGGAGGATATCCTGAGGTTATAGATGCTCATTGAGATTATCTAACATCAGTTCCGTTCTCAGACTTAATGAGCTGCTCTACAAAGAGCTTTTAGAGGACTAATGCCAGCTGTGAGAAATGTCAATACTTTACCTTTGAGCTACGCAGGCTGGAGGAGCTCGAAGCTATTGTCCTTTTATGAAAGCTAACCAGGCTGTCAATATCTTCCTCCTCCTCTCCATCTTCCTGCAGCATCAAAATAAACATTTAGAAGACTGATAATAGACACACAGCTGTTTACACAGTTTCAGTCATAATGAAGATTGTGGGATTAAAATGTACAAGCAGAAAATGACTTCCCAGAGATGGGTCTCTCTTTGGTAATAGACAGATTCTGTGATGGTAAAAATGTACCCCTTTAACACAAACCGGCTTAAAAAGGCTGAACCTATAACTAGCTAACACAATTACAGCCAGGCTAACAATGTTACATTATCTGAAACATCAAACGTAAAAGCCACGTTTTAGTGTCATCTCGTAGAACCAGAGGAAAAGCTTCTTCTAGCTTAATTTGGCAGTGACTTTCAACTAATCAGACAGGAAATAATCCACCACAGAAGAGACTAAAACAGCCTCAAAACTGCCTCATTAAACCAGAATTAAAGTTGCAGTAGGTAACTTTTATTTTTTTTAAATAACTGTCATATTTGCTGAAACTTTCACTACATATACTGACGGAGGTGAATGAGACAGGTAATCTGTGAAAAAAAGTTACATTCCCAATTCATTTCCAGGTCGTCAGATACGTTGGTATATGAGACTCAATCATATATCTTTCCTGGCTCCGATTGGTTGCTTTTGGCCGGAGACTTTCTACTCTGTTGCTCTTACTATCAGTACTGCTTGGTTGGTATATCTAATGTCATTCTTGGACATGATAACAGCCTCTGAAGTTTATACAGTACTAGTGTTGGGAATGCTGAAAAAGTATCACAGAAACAGAAATGATAGAAAGATCAGCTTAACGTCCCTACAGCGAGGACATTGTTTAACTTCTGTTGAAACAGTATGTAAGAAGAAGAATCAGAAGTTTGAGTTTTTTCAGCTAATTACTAACCTGTATATCTAAGCCTGGTACAGAGCGGCTCCTGTTGCCCATTGAGACCTCTGATGTGTCACATCCATCACGCAGGTCGAGTGTAGATACATACTCTGCTATAAACATGCAGACCAGAAATTAAGCTGTGATACACCCCAGTGCTTCATTTAAATCTGGATGAAAAACAATGGCACTTGACATGCTAACATAAGTTACTAACCGGAAGATCTTGGCTCTCGCTTGATGCTCTTCTTGAAGAGCCTATCAACATCTAAATCCGGGCTCGGACTGTTCGCTTTAACGCCTGGGGTCTACAGTGACAGAAACAAGGACAGTCAGGGAAAAGCAGATAAAATGGCCTGAAACAGAAATATGACATGTCACTTGAAAGCATCGTACAGTGTTTGCATTTGTGCTCACAACGTTGACAATATCTGCTTTGACTGGGACGGTCACGCTGGAAACACTGGATCCTGTTGGGCTGGACTGAACTGAGCGGTTCTCTTTCCTGTGTGATGATACAAATCAATATTAAATTACAGCTACAACAGTTTACATGCAAATACAGCTTATACAACTTTCTCAAACTGTGTGTGATCTGGTGCCTACACCATGTGGAAACTGGCAACTGGGACATCTCAGCAGGTTTCTGTTGCTTTGAAGTTAGCAGGTAGTGTTTATACCTTTTAGAATAACTACAGGTGAGCTTACCTTGGTTGCTCGGGGGTCACACGGCCAGACTCAGTCTCAGTTTTGCTGCTAATTATACTGGCGTTTTCTGCAGACTCCGTGTCACTGCGTATTGGTTTTGACCAAATGTCCTCCCTTGATTCAAATGATTCCCTTGAAGCAATTGATCCCGAATTCTGAGTTGACTGACTGTCAAAATAAAATATGACAAGAAGGTTGAGAGTCTTATCATGTTAACATTTCTAAAACTGAAAAAACTGATGTGAAGAATGACGCCGCACCCTTTGTCAGTTGTCTGATTTTTCTGCCTGGCCCGAGGAACAGGAGTGGGAGGATCTGGGTTTATTTCAGTACTTCTCAACAGCAATTCTCCTGTTGTCTCACGCTTCTTGGCTATAAACACACAACAAAAGTTCAATCACATTTCCATTACAGTTAAACAAAACCACGTTACTGCAGGATTTAATATTCCTCTCCTCTATTGTTGAACTGAGAGAACATTCCTGTGATTATAGGCATGTCTTTCAGCCCAGGCTGAGAGCTGTTTACATTCCTGGTTGAACAGTTGATACCCACTTCCTCTTCCTGTACTCACGCAGAGGCCTCTTTTTCAGGGAGACTCTCACTAGGTCGTGTCCAGGCATTGTAGAGAAACGGTTGACCCTTTGATCAAAGAACCAGTCACCTGTCCTTTTCTTTAGATCCCTAGAAGTCAATACAAACATTTTATTTATTATTTTTTAAAAAGGTCTAAATTAAACAGAATTTATACTCAATCAGTGAAATAGCAGATTTGAAAAAGGGTAAAAAAAGGTTGATGAGCAGTGTTGTTCCCAGAGAAGATAAATCTATGAGTCAGCAATATTTATATCTTTTTAAATTGTCAAAGAAACTGATTAAAACCAACAATGAATGGATTCAACTGACAGGTATTGTTAAGCCTGAGTTTATTCTCATAAATATCATCCGTCTCATATTTTTTTTATCTAAAAAGCTATTTAAACACATGGACACTGTAGTTTATTTAGACTAATTTCCTTATACACCATCTGCGTAAAAGACATTCATTATAGCACCAAATGTGTATTAATCTACCTTTGAATAGACCAACAAATGCACCATTTACTCCTGTTTGAGTAACTGTTGTCTAAAACTACTATAACAGGAAAAGAAGTCACTGAGCCTTTTAAAAATTGCCACTAAGTGCCATCACTAGGTTTGAATGAGCTTTTTTTCATGGGATTTGTTGGCAATCAGAAAAGTATCAGTTCAAGGAGAGTATAAACGAAACAGTCTCTTACGACTCTTTGGCACACACACTGCACAGCCAGGATCCTTTGGGGAGGACTGTTCGGCAGTTGCGGCACACGAGGTGATTGCACATCTTACACTGGCTGGAGAAAACAGTCAGTCGACTCAGAGGCTCCTGACATCTGCCACAACTACGCTGACTGTATCTTCCACTGCCACGTTTGGCCCCTTTCCTCCTCACATCCAGCAACTCTGTCTTCAACTTCCTGAGGGAAATGGAAAAAAAAGAAGAAAAAAGTTATTTATTGAGAAACTTGTTGTTTTTGGTGACATTTCATTTCTCTGATAATTATTTTGCCTTATTGCCTCCTGGAGTATTTTTAATAATCTTGGTTCCGGCCGTGTAAGTCACTTTGTAACTATGTTTTAAAAAGGGCTGTATAAATAAAGTTTATTA